CCCGGCCCTGACGCTCGGCCGAGTTCACCGGAGCCGACCGGTCCCCGGAGCCACCCCACAGCCCCAAACGTAAAAGCCAGGGCCCCGGCCGCCGCCCCACCCACAGCCGGTCACCCACCCGCCTGCTGGCTCTCCCCGCCTTCCTTTCCGGTGTCGTGTGAGCTCATTTCCGGTGGGGCTGAAGCACCGACGCCATCTTTGATTGGGGCAGCCGAGCCCGAAAGGAGGCGGTGACAGCGAGCCCTTTGGGAGAGGAGGAGCTGGAGGACGGAGCTACTTGGGAAGAGCCACAGGCTTGCCTGGCCTCGAACTCACAGAGATCCACCTGCCTGAGTGCTAGGATTAAGATGTGTGCCATCATACCTGGCTAACCAAAGTTATATTTATTTTGCTGAGGGTCATCACATGAGGTTCACACTCTTAAGTTTATTAGGACCTAATTATGGTCCTAAGCCTGTCTCCCCAAGGCTGCTCACCTGTGTGGCATGTCTTAGCTGAAGGTCGGGTTCAGTCTCTTCACATAGTCTCTGGTTCTAGGGTCAGGATCCCAGGAGAGAATCCCCAACCCCAGGGCAGATTTAGGTGGTATCTCTCCAATGTCTCCCGCAGTCCTGAAGATGTGCAGAGCAGAGCATCGCTTTTGGTCTCTGCTCACACACTGTGTCAAATGGGCATCGTGGAGTTCTCTGAATGCATAGCTGTGTGTGTGTCCGGCTATCTTGAGTGAATGACGTCGCTGGGTTCTGGTTATCAGGTGCAGCCTTGGGTTTGTGGGGTTCCTGACTAAGCTATTTCTGTATGTCTAAAAGGCACTTTTTACTAAGTCCACCACATTGAACAACATAGAAGCAACCTCCCACAACTCAAATAAGATAAATAAATAAATAAATAAATAAATAAATAAATAAATAAATAAATAAATAAATAAATAAATAAATAAATAAAAGACTTTGGAGGATGAACCAGAAAATCAGTGAGATGGAATGGAGAACCTGATTTAGAGCAAGGAAAAAAGATGTATAAAGGGTCGTTTTATAAGATGACATTTAAGTGAGATGATGAAGGACAAGAAACTTAAAGGAAGAGCAATCTGTACTTACTCTGAGAAATGAGAGCCGGAAGCCTAGAGCGTGACAGAGAGTGGTATGGAGTAAGAGTGAGGAAGGGCAGAGGGGTGCGGGTCTTATTTAAATACAACAGTGTTAGAAATAATAAAAAAGAAAGAGTGGCAGGTTTGGGAAAGAAGGGAACACAACATCGCCTTTCACAGCTGGAGGAGGTGAGGGGCAGCCTCACAGCTGGGGGAGGTGAGGGGCAGCCTCACAGCTGGAGGAGAGGTGAGGGGCAGATTCATAGCTGGAGGAGAAGTGAGGGGCAGACTCACAGCTGGGGGAGGTGAGGGGCAGACTCACAGCTGGGGGAGGTGAGGGGCAGACTCACAGCTGGGGGAGGTGAGGGGCAGGCTCACAGCTGGGGGAGGTGAGGGGCAGCCTCACAGCTGGAGGAGAGGTAAGGGGGCAGGCTCACAGCTGGGGGAGAGGTGAGGGGCAGCCTCACAGCTGGGAGATGTGAGGGGCAGCCTCACAGCTGGAGGAGAGGTGAGGGGCAGCCTCACAGCTGGGGGAGGTGAGGGGCAGGCTCACAGCTGGAGGAGGTGAGGGGCAGCCTCACAGCTGGAGGAGAGGTGAGGGGCAGCCTCACAGCTGGGGGAGGTGAGGGGCAG